ACCCATTCGTCACCGGCTTCGTTCTGAATCACACATAAATTGGGTTCATGATTTCCATTTTCCTGACGACACTCGAAATCAAAGAATAACATCTGGTCATACCCGCCTTCCGTAACATCATCCTCAGGGTGCTCAGACGAATCGTCACTGTCCGATAAACCTTCGTTTCGTTTTCCCACGGGCTGCATGTAACACCGATGGTCGCCGGGTCGAGTGTACTCTTTACATATTAAGCATTTTGTCATGCCACAATGATGCGAATCTCTTTTATAACGTTTGATAAGTCTATGACAGTCAGGACATTTAATCATCGTCGCACAGATCGATTTTCCGCTTGACTGTTTATGCCGATCGAAACACGCTTGACTTTTGAACATCCGGTTACAATCATTGCAGTGAACCCAAGACTCGATGGGACAGTCGGGAAAACGACAACATTTACAGGCATTCGGGCATAGGTGATCTTCTCGATGATCATAAGCTTTCTTGCATGTATGGCAATACTTTTTACGAGCGAAAAACCCCGGCATTCTGGTAATAACGTCGTAATGATTATCATGAAGATAGAGATAAATCCTCTCCTCCTGATCGGGGCCAGTATAAATAAGAGCGTTCTGATGATCTTTGGACACAATATTGATCTGGTAATTGGAAAGGTACGTCTGAAACTGCTTGACTTCATCCAAACCGCAAGGACCCAAAGGAACGGCAGCATTCTGGTGTAATTCACGAGCCAAACGGGTTTGCATAGCCCTGCGATGATTAACAATGCTCGTATACTGTGGATCATTCTCAATTCTGGCTTTCGCGACGACCAGGGCCCTCGCCAAACAAAGTTGATCATTGTTCTGGATCCGTATGATCGAGCGTTTCTTCGTTAAATGCTTCTCCAAATTAATCTCAGCTCGCTTCGTACCTGTACCACCATGGGGCATTTCCACATGAACAACATTAACATCCACACTATCGTTGAGATGAAAATGGCGATTGGACTGTATCACGCGTTCAAACTCTGCCAACACACGTTCTGTAGTGAGACGTTCACGAGGCATGAACGGAAATGAAATAGGATTTTCCAGTTGCGATGAGTGTAGGACGAAACGTACCTGGTCATGGGGAGGAACGCCGTGCGTAACCTCATTAAGCAAGCCCTGAAATATTTCATGCAGCCTTTCATGATATTCGGAAAGCTCCACATTCGCAAATGCATTCGTAAATTGAATACGATAATCCATACCCTTGGTTTTAAACTTTTTCACATTCACTTGTTTCACACCCTGCACCGTAAAAACGTTGTCGCTAACCTCGTTCCCTTCTTGTCCAGGTACATTATCGTCGTTGGTTTCTTCAAAAGATCTTTTCTGTCCGCGACCAACTTGTGGTTCATCGCTACTCATCCCTTCACAAGATTTTTTCTGTCTGCGACCGACTTGTGGTTCATCATCATCGCTGCTTATCGCACAAAATGATCTTTTCTCACCCCGATTAATCTGCATCGGAAGCTCTTCATCTTGCCAATCGCGTAAAAACCTCTCGCGTTGCTCGGGCGTCCAGGTATCTGTAAGATCCGGTACTAGTCCTAACCGTGCGTTTTCCAAACGCCATTCCTTTATGCGCATAAAAATCTCCATTTTCTTCTCAAACACCAAACGTTTCTCAAATTCGCTTAATGCCTGATTTTCCAGAGCCAAAAGCTCCGCTATCGTTTGACATTCTTTAATCTTTCTTTCCATATCTAAACCAAAAAACGATTCCCTCAAACAAAATTATTACACAAATTCCCTTTAAGTAAATATAAACATTTACCTGAAAAATAAATCCGTTCTCAAACAAAATATCCACCAAAGCTCTTTCAATGTAAACAGTATATTTGAAGTGACTTCCCTAAGTGAAAACTATGAACACAATAACGATAATCGCTCGTCTCCTCTATTTATACTATCCATCCAACACAGCTAACCAATCAGGGATGGGCATGATTATGACGTAATTGATGTACGTACACCGTGTACGTACACCTAATTTATATTCGTACGCATCAACCAATCAGAGATAAACATGACGTAGTGGTGTACGTACACCGTGTACGTACACCTAATTTATATTCGTACGCATCAGCCAATCAGAGATGACGTAGTGGTGTACGTACACCGTGTACGTACACCATACTATATAAAGCACATCGCTACTATACACAGTCAAAATGAACTCGTGTGAGCAAGTGTTCTGGGCAAAGCGCTTGAACGTAGACGAAGTTGTGCCTTGGGAAATCAGAAACCTGTGTAATCTAATGAATGCTATCTTTTCGGAAGCCGTTGACTGTCAAGTCCATAAACTTCGAAAAGAAAAATGCTGTGGTTGTGAAGTCAATCATCCAAGTCAGAAAAGACATGATTGCCTCATGATGTCCGAAGAAGAGGGATGGATAATGCATGGATCGGAAGCAGTAAAGCGAGTGATCGAACATCAAACGGTTTCGAAACAATTCACCGAAGCTATACGCGTCATGAAACTAGACCTTCATGAACATGTCATTCAACATTTCAAAAATCTAACCAAAGACCCCGAAACAACCGCCGAATTCCTAAAAGACTTGAAGTTTAAGTCAGACTTTCCTGAATATCAAGCCATTTTGGGATATCTCAGCTACTGGAGCGCAGAACATTAAACGGTTCATAGTTTAAAAACAATATATATATATTTTTTTAAAAATTGTTTATTAACAAAAAGTATATTTCACAAATTATTAAAATGTTCTCGAAGTTTATCTTTGAGATAATTCTGATATGCCTTTTGTTCATCTTGTTCCTTACTCTCGAACCTCTCTTTCTTTCCTCTAACATAATATATAAAGGTAGGGGGACTGCTGAAGAGGCGCTCTGCAACAGGTTCCAGTGGATCTGCTTTAGGATTAGACAAATTGCATATAACTTCGATTAATGATTGATTGTCTTGGTATTCTTGAAATAATGATTCTATCAGCACAAGATCAGGGTTTTCTTCCAAGCTCAACAAGTGTTCCGTGAAATATTTTTCAAACGGAACATTCAGGATTTCAATAACATTACTAAATTCACGCCAGACGGCGTAATTAGTTCCAGCTTCCCCTATAGCATCAAGACCGTACATCTCCCATTTTTCAAACTCATCCAACATTAAGCAGTCCTGGTCACGGATTTTACACCCGCAACAAAACAGACTAAATTTCCCTTCAATGCTATGTGCAATGACCTTGGCGTATATTATTTCTATCAGACGAAGCTTCTTGTTTGAACCGTTCATCATGGAAACCAATGTGTAAATGAACTTGTATTACTGATCGATTCAAATATACCCCCATCCCTATTCGCTCCTGCAGACTCATTACTTCCGGCGCTCCTGCATACTAATTACTTCCGGCGCTCTATTCGCTCCTGCATACTAATTACTTCCGCCGCTATACGGGGGGGGGGGTAATACTACTCATACCATCCCAAACTGTTCTCCTCTGTACGAATGCATCCTTCACAACTGATCAAACCTCTTCCGCCCTTTTCTCTCGGTAAATATAATCGATGAATGTTACTTCTTGGGTGAAGAGCACCATACAGTGTCATCAGTTTACGTGTTTTGCGATCCATTGCAGCAATTTCATCTCTTGACCATTTCAAAACACCAGCTCCGTACCTCAGCAGCGCAACAGCCCAAGTATTCATCGCCATGATTTTGTTTCTGCCATTCAGTTTTGATTTCAGCACCAGTCTTAATCAATTGGTCTTTTGTTCCTCTAGTCTTTCTTCTACATCCTTTTTGTTCATTCAGTAGTACATCATTTATCTCCAGAAAAGTGTACATACTTTCAGCAATCACACCTGTCATCAATTTCCACATCAATGGTAAGCAAGATATGGGTCGAAAGTTATCAACTGCATTACCCCTTGATGGGTCTTTTAAGCACAACACTGTCCTACCATATGTGATCCATTGAGGTAGTTCAGCCTTACCATTTAAAATCTCATCTAACTGTTCTGCAATCCTTTGATGACAAGAAGTAATTTTCTTTATCCAATAACCCTGTATTCCATCTAGTCCTGGCGCTTTCCAATTGGGGATTTCTTACACTGCTTTGTAATGTCTTCCTTATTTATCTTCAAATCGTTTTGGTTCAAATATCCGATTCCCTGTTTCATTTCATGTAGCCATTCAGAATCCTTATTATGTTCAATTCCATTGTCCCATATTTCGCTCCAGAACTTTATACTTTCATCCGCATCTGGTATCACTTTATCAACTTTACTTTCCAGACCATTGTTTATTTCCACATAAAACCTTTTTTGGTCACTCTGAAACATTCTATTCTGTCTATATTGTTTCACCCTCTTTACCTTCGCTATTTTCGCTAGTACCCTCTGCTTAAGCTCCTCAGTCACTGTTGGTTCTTATTTTATATTTTTCCTTGAGCCTTTTATATTTACCTTTTTGATTTCTCCCCTTTTCTTCCTTTCTATCCATATCTAGTCTTCTTTAACACCATGGCTTTTGTTTAGTTTGTTCAATCACTTCCTTCAGTCCAATTTTCTCTGCCACTACACCCCGTACTGCTTTCTATAATTTGTTTGTGTCAGTTATATTATCTGTTTGTATTTGTGCTACTAGCTTATTCACTTTTGCTGTAATTTCATTTATTTTGCATCTATCCACCCTCTTATATGTGAATACTTTATAATCTTCTTCACCTTTCATGATCTCGATTATCCTATCAACAATCTCTTTCTCGTCCTTACTTAGCTCTCCATATCCTTCAACTCTAACACATTCTTCTGCTCTATCCTCAGATTGCTCTGTTGTATATGTATCTTCCAGATATTGTACATTCCTTCCACTTGCTGTCTCCTCATTTTCTTTTCTCATATCACATCCCACTTCTTCTCTTTCCAAGTCACTTTCTCCACGATTTATTTCCTCACTTAATACTCTTTGTTTTATACTCTCCAGTTCAATGGCTGTTAACCAACCTTTCTTCCTTATTGCTCTAGCTTGATCACAACTTCTTTGTTCTTTTGCGGGAAACACTCCTCTCTCATTCCAGATCCTATGCGTTTGCTGTCGGTATCCTCGTTGAGGTTTTCCATTTTCGCTAAACGGCTTACTTAAATAAAAGCATTCCATTATTACAACATTGATTTATTTCGTGCATTTCAATCTTATAGCTTCAGCAGTAGCATGATGACTGGGCCTGTGCTGCTGATCCACAGGACACCTGCCGGACGAGGGACCTTCACTAGTTGTTCCAGTCTCATTTACGTCGTTGTCTTGTACATTAGTAGTATTCATAATTTTTCACCCATATATATGAGGTTCATGTAATGTGTACGGGTTGTAAGTCCATCCTGTGTTGCCCGACTCTCAGGATAAAGCTATTACTGACAGGTGTCGCTACTTCCTATCAGCCATCATTAGCGACCACATGACGCAGTGGCCATTCACTCATCGACACGATTGACATCTTGAGTTACGAGTTGATTTCGTCGTGCAACTACCACTATATGAGTTGCCAGCCAAGGCTGAAGAGCCTCATATGCCCTGGTTTAAAATCAGAGTTTCCTTCTCCTAGGTGAACTACCATCCAAGGTTGATGAGCTCCACCTACCCGAAGCATTGGTTATTTAAAGGTGCCAATTACTCGCCTCTCGCCCCTTCTCCTGTTAGTTCCAAACAGTTCTGCCACATGAAGGCCAGGAGCTGGACTTGACTGTCAGAGGCTTTATGTTGCACTTTGCCATATGGAGTATTTTTTGGTATCGGATGCTCATCTTCCTCAACCACTCCAGCAATAACAGCCTTCAGAACCATTATTATTATTATTATTAAACAATGACAATCATGAGGATAACACTGACCCAATTAACCCTAAAATATCACCTTCAAACACCGAAAAAACTTCCCTGACTTAAAAAGGGGGATAAAACTACCCAAATCGCCATTACAATGGTCAGCTGCCAACGACTTTTTCAAGCTAACTTTTTTGAATCACCCAATCACACCGGATGATCTAAATAACAACATCAATACCATGGTAACCGTCATCTACAATTCCTTTAGTGGGAATTTTGGTCATGTTGACAATAATAGCAGTGTAGAATTCGAAAGAAAATACCAAACATTTTCAACAAAGGATTTAAAAAAAGCTTTAAAGAAATTAAAACTGGCAAACGGTAGTGTCCTGGAGATCAAATTTGTTGCAAAGAAATTGCGCATCCTCCTTAATAAGTCAACTAATACGGACCTAAATAATTCGGATAGTCATGCATCTGCAGACATAGATCACAATAATCTAATTAGTAAAAACTTTTGGGGTTATGTTAAAAGATTTTTCAAAAAGAGTACCATCTCACTTCCATCGTTTAATATAGCGCAATGTACATCCTATTTTACCAAAACATTTTCCGCGATTAGTCCAAATAAAGCATTCAACATCCCAAGTTGGATCCCACAATTTGCTTCTTCTCAAACTCCTTTTAATCTTGATCCCCCGACCTATCAAGAGATTACAAACGTCATCCGTAAAATGAAACTGTCTGGCTCACCATGCCCACTTGATCAGATATCAATAATCTGTTTTAACTCATTAACTGGCAAGCTGTTACAATGTTACCACCCCCTAAAGTGGCAAGCAATATGGCAAATTCATGATTGAATTCCAAGCTTTCACCAAAATGGCAATATCTCAGAAACAATTGCATAAAAAAGTCTGATCTTTTCAATCAAACATGAATGATATATGATTGACCAAATTTAGTTTAGATGACCTTGCATACCTATATATTTCATTAGTTTTTTCAGTCAGTATTTTTATTTATCAAGCAGTGACACTTTGTTTTTCATGTCACTCATCACCTAAAGGGGCAATATCTCCATAAATTTATATAAAAACAAAAAAAAATCATTTACTAAATTAATACATATCTATATTACAACCAATTTTCATCTTTTGGGATATGAATTACGAAATTATCAAAAAATTTAAAAATTACTTCTTTGCTTTTTTGGGGCATCTTGTTTACAACATGAAATTTAGAACAGTAACTAAGTGTTCAAGTGTGCAAGCCAAAACACAGTGTTTGTACATCTTTAAAGTTTTTTTATTGCTTCAAATATATTTAAAAGGACACATAGTGCTTAAATTTATTTATTTTAATATAAACCAAGGATGGGAAGGTGAGAAAATGGGAATTTTCTGAGGTGTTTTTAACACAGACAATGACAGCCGACATTTTGAAAGGCACTCTGCGGTGACAAAACTAAAAGCTATTCACTTCTGTACTCAAAGCACTGAAAAGCATCATAGGGAGAAAAACACTTTAAACACACGTCAGTTAAGACTTTTAGCTCAATATTCTCATGCTTCTATTGGGAAAGCAACGGTTTAAAAGCCAAAATTATTTTGCGCGGCAATGTAGGCTGCTATAAAATGTCAGCCAGGCGGTTTCTTTTGAAGTCTGGCTCTGAAAAACAATTTTTTTTTTTAGTTTGAAATAAGCCTTCATAAGGACTATTGTGTAGAAATGTTATCTATATGCTCACATGAAAAAGATAACCTAATATTCAGGTATTCCACATAGCTATAAAAGGGTGAAATAAGAACTTTCATCTTTGGTTGTTTGTCAGACGTGAGAAAACACATTAGTGCCATTTTGTCGCGCGTGCTATTTTATAAAATAAACACCTCAAAACCATAAACTTTTAGTTCAGAAAATTACAAAGTTTCCCATAGACATTATTAAAAATGTTCTAGTGAAGCGATTTCATGATAAATAAGTGAGCAATGGGCCCAAATGAACTGCTAAGGTTGGTTTTTGTTAGGACTTCAATTTTATGGCTTCCCGCAAAGTAAGCCATTTTAAAGAGAAGCGACATTTTGCAAACAACCGTCGCGACCTATTTTGATAACTTTTCCTTCTGATTCAACGTGTAGTTACTACAAAATGATGTTGCATCAAACATTATTATCTGCTTTATCGATTTAAAGTTTTATAGGGGATATAAAAAACAATAAAAATGCATTTTGAAAGCTTTACAACTCAAGTGCGGATTTTTTTAATATTCGCACGCGGCAAGCAAGTGCGTTTATTCAATACACTTATTTTACACCACAATACGTCTGAAATGAGTTGTCATTTTAACACTAAATTGATGAAAATAGATATAACAGTGATTTTGGAATATCCTACTTATTTAGTGTAATTTAATACTCAAAGTATTCTTGCCAAAAAGGTTGAAAAGGTCACATACACACACAGGAAGTGTCGTTTGAAATATACTTTAGCTAAAATAACAACTTGAACAAGAAGACCAACAATGGGGTCACGAAAACAGTCGAAATTGCACCCAAATTTGCATAAACAGTTCATCTAAAAAGATAACTTTAAACTAGATTCAACCAACATTAATGCGGTCGAATTTTGTGAGTGTTTGATCACATATTTCTACTCAAAAATACCCTTTAAAAAATCGTATCTGCTCACTTGAGTTCCGTGTTCATCTTTCTTGTGATTTCCGACTTCTATTTTTAATAAAGTTTGGAGAAATCCTCATCTTTTTGGCTGAAAATCTCGCACATGGTTCACAGAAGAACTTGGCCCCAAAACGTGAATACATTCGCTTTCCTTTCATGCCAAATTTTCGTTGTAGATGATTCAAAAACCTCTTCTTTTTTCTCTTTTAAAACTTGCTGTGAAATCAGTCTTTGCAACAATGTCGCCATTATTCATTATTTTTGAAAAACTAAGGTTTTAAACTTGAAAAACTTTGCGAGTTTTTGGCATGATACATCGTTGAAAAGCTGGAATTTCGCATTCTATTTTCGTATCCGTTGCTAGACAACCCGATAAACACGTGCTCAAATATCATGCCCGCAAGTTGAGGTGTCATTTGAGGGCGTATGCAGGCGCATTGCCAGTTACCCACTTGCCAATCTCAGGGCGTATCCGGGCGCATTGCCAGTTAATGAGTTAAACGATGTCCGTATCTACGTTCCTACTTAACCGAGATAATCCATGCAGCTTGGTCACACGGTGTTGTTCCATCTGAATGGAAAAGAGCATGCACAATATTAATTCACAAGAAAGGAACGACCCAGCAAACTTTTGACCAATAATTACACTTCAATATGTCTGATGAGGAACACAAATCAGAATTACTCGATGTGTTTAATGACATCATGAATAAAATTAATGAACTACCCTTACACCCGAAAAATAAAATTCTTCTATACAGTCGTTACTTGCTGTCAAAGATATCCTGGGACTTTACTGTTTCTGATATATCTAAGACCTGCATCTGCGAAACGTTAGACGGTATTGTGTCAAAATATATTTGAACTTCCTGTCTCTGCAACCCTTAGCAACGTGTTGCTTCCACAAAGTAAATTTGGTCTGAATATTATTCTCCCTTCGACAAAATTTATCCAATGTCAAACTGTCTCTCGATCAGCTCTAAAATACTCACCAAACGTACATATTAACAATCTATGGGCGGTTACGAGCACCAGCAAGAACATACAGTATGACATTTACAAGGACACAAAAGACGTACTTAAGGCAGTTAGAAAAGAAAATGAAGAAAGACTTCAAAACCACCTCATTTCGCAAGGTTCTTTCTTTTCCAGTATCATGAATAATTCCACATCCACATTCAACTCTTTATGGTCATCCGTTCAGAGCAAACTTCAAAAAAACATTTTTAACTTCACCATCCGGTATATCAATAACACACTTCCAACACGAAAGAACCTATCAAAATGGGGACTATCATCAACATCTGATTGCTCTTTTTGCTCCTCACCTGAAACGCTGCTTCATGTGATTGCTGGGTGTAAGACATATTTAGACGAAGGTCGGTTTACATGGCGACACGATTCTGTTTTAAATTTCCTCACATCCACTCTTACTGCTGTGCAAAATTCCACACTTTATGCGGACATTCCTGGCTTTATGAATCCATCTGTTATCACAGGAGATCGTTTACCTGACCTTCTGCTGGTGACTGAAAACAGATGTCTATACATCCTCGAGCTTACAGTCGATTGTGAATCCAATCTGCAAGTTAACACCAATCGTAAGCATCAAAAGTACCTTGATCTAATTAAAGAGCAGGAAGCTGATTATGAT